TAAGGACTGTTGCTTTCTCTATCCGACACCGACTGACGAATCTAGAGTGAAGCCCTGTCCCTTTCTTGGGTGGCTATAGTGCCCTCATCACCACTTGATTTCTTTTTTAAATTATGTACGGTGATAATAGAGGATAGAATCCTTGAGACCCCGCAAAAAAACTTTCTTTCATCCGCAACAAATAAGAGATTTCATTTGCGTTTTGTATACAGTGCCAACCGCCATCGCCTTCCACGTCGGAAACAGAGAGCCGCTCTTTCAACCCCTAATTCCAACATAAATCTAAGCCCAGTACGGAAAGTCCGCTCTCGGAATTACTGCTTTAGGTGTAAATTAGTCATGTGATGAGGGTTTGAAACAGCCTTTCTATATTTGCAATATAGAAGACGATAGCGGTCGCCACTGTACAGCATACATGTAAAAAGAAAAAGAGAATCAAAGAAAACATCAGAAAACCTCGTATACACTATTGAGGGTTTAACATTGATTGTCTATACCCCAACAGTAAGCCCTATCACTCCGGCTTCGCCCCCACCCCCCCCCCTCAATGGAGCCTTGTTTCCAATCGCTGATGATGCCAGTCAGTCTCGCTTGAGATGAATGCAGAGCGTGATCAAAGAAACGAAGATGAGATAGCTGCTCATCGTGGCGACGCTGGAGCTTTTCTCTCTCAATTGTTAGATGCAGTCTCGCTTTTTCCAAAGACTGATTTGCCCGAGCTTGCTCTTTGCAGTCAACATGCTTCCACACACAAGATTCCCACAGGCGTCGATATATGCCCAGAATACGAGCCGCTTGGAAAGCGAGCTTTGGGTCCTTGCGATCGAGCTCCGCCAGTGCTTCAAGGGTAGGTCGCAAAGGCTCATTCGCGAGAGATTCCTTCGATGCCGAATCAGCCTGTGATTGTTAGTCGTGAATATCCGGGTCGGAAAATTGACTTACATACCATATGACCAAAGGGTTGTGGGGCAGGTTGAAGCCCGGTGGTGTCTTCTTGACTCGGTGTCTTTTCCGGGCCATGACCTTCCTTCCCGTCGTTTTTCGACATTTCCCTTGGGCTCTCCATGTCTCACCGATTGTATGTGAATATTTTCGATGAATGCTCTGGTTTCCAATCGATATTTGCTCTTTTATATCAGATCTCATAGCGAACAGCGATTTGAACGATGTCCCTTAAGCCCAGTGAAATGTGAAATTGACTTCTCCTAATCACTTAAGACCCATGTCAACTTTGACTCACAAGGCTGTTCAGGCTCAACAAATATTGGTGACATCACTCATAATGTGATCTTGTTAGAGAGTACACTCAGTGGACCCTCATACTCGGAGGCTGGATTGTTATGAGGTCCATGACTGTCAATCCCTCACTTATACAGCCCTTGTTGTTGATCACTAACGTTGAGATACCAGGCAGATGCACTTTTCATTCAACTTGGAACAAACGCCATCGCGACTGCACAAAATTTGTCAGCCAATAGATGACGTGGATAAACGTAGCAATATGTCTAAAATAAATCTTCCAGCATCGGCACTGGGTACTTAGTTCACCAACTCTAGAGAGTAAATCTCGTCAATTCTGTCTGTTGAATATTTTATGCCACTACAACCCTCGATCATTCGATAAATATATATCCGTCGCTTTGGGAGCTTACCAACACTAAGCTATCCGGTGCACTCAGGAAATGCTTAGGAATGCAACCATAGGAGGGGCCAAGTAGATGTGGTCGAGTAGAGAGCAGAAAGGGACGTCCACGTCCCGAGTGTATAGTCCAAGTCCCTACTCCGTTGCGCTCACTGAAACCCACGGGTACCCATACCCATGGATTGGCGTACAGACCGAAGAACTCATTATTAGGCGCGAGTTGGACCCATGGACTTCACCAGTCGGTGACATCCGTTGCCAAGGTTCGCAAAACTGGGCACGACCATCAACCAAGCATGGCCTACATCGGTGACTCCACGTTATCAACAACGAACACCGAGTGGTGAAGCAACATGAGTCGTCAACAGATAGACGGTGGTCTACATTCAACATGCTTGCACACATTCTCAATTCAAGGAGCCACATCAATGACATTGTTTCCCAACAACCAGGGCGCTTTTCAGTTGCGTAGGTCGACGGTAGCATGCAATGAACAGATTTATCAACTCGAAGATTGAAGTGGTCTATCAACATGTATCTCATTCTTGATACATGAAGGCTAGTGTAAATCAGACTATCTCGCAATTACCTTCATAGCCTGGCAAATTAACAAATATGGGCTCAGAAAACCAAGAAGAGATGTTTTGATGATTGGATCGGCGTTTCGAGGAGAGCAAATAATTTAATTGAATCTAAAGAGACAAATTTGGGAATATCGGACCGAATGCGAAATATGAACAAGATGACCAAGCCCTCTTACTAGCTGATGATGCAAACAATATATCCCCTTGGTAATAAGTTGGGAAAAACAAAACAAATGCTCCAATGTCCCTCTTGGCCACATTGTTGTTAGGTGACCGATTAGTCACTGAATGGGAAATCTCCAATCAGTCGAGATGAATTTCCCCCTCCATATTTGGGTAGAAAGTGCGTAATCAATTCGGAACAGGATATGGCCACTGAATATCCAATGGCCACCCCTCTGGGGTGATTCGACCACGATAGCCAGTGTCGAACACTGGACTCGCTGGATCCAGAGTGGCCACGTACGAATTCCGGCCCCCACGTTTTCCGTGTGTCAAGTAATGAGCGTTCAGATTGTCACGTCGCAGGAACCTTCGATAGCAATGAGGTACCCAGCAGGCATAGGGCTTTACTCCGAGATGAACCACAGAGTGTCGCTCGAGGGTTTTCTGGCGTTTGAAGCGGCTACGGCAGCCCGTAAAAGTGCAAGCAAACGGTTTGTGGGGAATCCCATCATGAGTCACCTCATGCGTATTCCTTGAAGCACCTGACATATTGCGGTCGTTCTCAAGCGAGCCTTGAGTAACCGACGGGGGTTCATAAACACACACACTACATCCACATTGGTCTTGAGCATTGCATCCTTGAAGTATGCTGTAACAGTAAAGGCCCGAGCTGGTGCAGGCTCCAAATAGCTGAGGCATATGGCCGAAACACTCTGGAGGAAGATGGGGCGTGACCGGCCCTAGTGGTGGATGGCAGTGTGCACTCCAGTCTGGGCAGGGTAAGACGCTTAGTCTACCTTGTTCGCAGTCCTGGGAGAGCGAATAGCTTATGTTCCAAGAGCAATGACCATGTAGATTGCCTCTTTCGTCCGATATTGGATATCTCCTAAGTGGAAATGTCTCCACGGCAGGAAAACTGAATTCGGTACCTTCCACCGATGCTGGACTAGCATTGTCGGTCAAGAGAGTATTTCGCTGCGTTAAGACATCCTCGTCCTCGCATGTCTCGTGAAGCGATGGCGTAACTGCCACTGTTAGTCCATCTTGAGACTGCGCTGAATTCAGAATCCGCTGCATATTTCATTTGAGTGGTGTCGGAAGAGCGATGGCGATAAGTGATATAGACCCGCAGGAAGATAACTTTCGAAAGGAGTTGATAGCGGCAGCTTGATTGGAACAATGATCAGATGCGATTGATATAGCATATGACGGCCAGGAATTTTAGTTTCGAACAATTTAGATCTGTATTTATAAGCAGGCCAAGGGTTGTCTGTCCTAAGCGACGACGCTTAGGGACTCACACGCGACTGCCATTTGACTGCTGGGCGTAGTGGCGTGACTTTTCATGTTGAATCAGGGACGTTGATCCAGCGGGAAAAGAGCGCCATTCGTAGACCATTCGTAGACTTCCATATCGAGCCATCAGAACGACCATCGATGAAGCAGCTGTAGGTCTATTTTGAGGTGGAAGTGGCTTGTGTCAACACGCCGACATGATTCAACAGTGTTTGTTGAACCTTTACGTATCTCGGCTCCAAAGGACGTCCGTTTTGTCAAGATCAAAGGTTAACAATCAAAAAGATTCCACAAGACAGCACAGTATCAGAGGATCACCATGGATCATGAAGACTTGGGGATTTCAATCACCTAACGACTCCGTTCACAAAGAAATAATATTTAACCAGTACCCTTGCCAATCGGATTTTGCCTGTCCTAGCTCATACTGCAGTGTTGTGCTGCTTTGAAAATCAAACCCATTCTAGCCTTCTGAACGTATGTATCCTTTGTCTTGTTTATCCTTGCCTCGGCACTCGCGTCGTGAGACAGCTGAAGATGTCTGTTGACCTCGGAAACGAAGCATTTGAAGTACAGTCATGGTGTAGTGACTATGAAGGAGCAGGGTCCTTTCAGACACGGTCTACTGCATCCACGGCAGCCACCGACGAGCTCTCAGAGACAAGTTAGGACCGCGCATTTGTGGTTTCCGATGGAGAGCCATCCAGGAGCGCGAGAAGCGCGTCAGGTCTCTCTGGGACAAATCAACTTCCTAGTGTCGAACAAGATAGGTCCTATTCCAATGAGGTGAGTACGCATAATAAAATGGACTGGATTTAATCTAATCAAGTACTAGGTCTGTCGTAAATGGCCCGTCAATACCATAGCAAAGCGGCTGGTGAATGAGGATGGTCATCTTGTCGAGCAGTACCTGGTTCTGTGGTGCTCTTGGGAGAGACGTATGCCTGCAATGATATGATCTTCGCAAAAGTGACCGTATCACTGATCAGTCATGTAATAGGAACATAGGACAATTGTCTTTTCCTCTTCACATCTGAGGCCCGGGCAATGAAATGTTGAAGTTTAGGAGTTTTCTGGGCTGTCATTATGGTGATGTTTCCATTCAAGCTGCCTAATAGCAAGGATTTCAAATAGAGGATCGAAATATACAAATTATATATGACAAGTGCCAGCAAAGCTTAAATGGTCTTTATTTAAAGCAATATATATAAATGGATTATATGCCTTCATATTGATCTCTATGATAGAGGACTGGTAAGGAAATTTGCGTCGGCCATTGACGGGACAAACTGTACAGTAGGCGTGTACAAATGTCACGTAAATTTAGCCCAAGGGTTATGTACAAAATCCGAAGGATACAGAGAAGGCATAGTAGGCAATGCCGCCAAGGGAGATAGAGTCGACGAAGCGGAGTACGGAAACGGCTCTAAGCGCGGCCACACGGATAACCGAAAGTGGCAGCCCGGCATCACACAAGCGCCATGAGATACAATGTCAAGTATCTCTTGTCGTATGTGCTGAAACTTCCAGGATGCTGTTTCTATCCGAGGGATAAAGAACAGATGCTCGTCCACCACGCCTCTGGTAAATAGATCCAGCTGCGCAAGGCGAACTTCCAACCAGCCAATTTTCTCTGACAAGAAGGCTGAAATGTAGACGAAGATATCCTCGGGCTTTGTCGAGGGAAGCAGTGGGGTCGGCCCCATCCACCGGAAAGCATGATTGCTTTTAGTGTTGGAGTAGAATAAGCATTCCACAGTGGGATCTTGCACGCGATGTGCCATGGTCTTTTCCGCATGCGGGCTTTCGGGCTTGGTCTCGTCAAACTCTGTCGCGAGGCACGGAGGCGGTGCTGGTAGATCAGACTCTTCCCAAAGCTGGTGGAGATCCAGATCCAAATCATTTTCTAACACGTTATCAGCAAAGGTAGCTCGCAGAGGCAGGCCACACGAACCATTCCAAATATATTCCATGGTGTTGCCCAGGTGCTGGTAATTCGATCTCAGAGCTCGCACAAGAAACAACTTGAAAGAAGAGAAGCGAATTTGCATCATTTTTATGAAGGTTAAAAAGTGATTTTTGTGAGTTATTCTTTTTTGGTTTCTTTCTCATGGTTCAACGTTCAGCCTCACCAAACATTAATGAATCACCGCCACTGAAAATAACTTCGGTGATCAATCAACACATCACAAATTTTGCATTATTTGTTTAAGATTCTATCCCAAGACCGAATAAAATACTGTGGCCGCCTAGCCCTCTATATGTTATCTTTCAACCTCATCTATGAGGCATCGGGAATCGCTGGTGTAAAGGGAGATGGTTACGTTACGAAGTCTGCCGAGCTCCCCACGCGCTCCCCGGAGCAAGAGCGGTTTTATCCGGTAATCAGTTTCTCAAAGCATGTGTATATACAGACCCATCGTCTGTGGAAATTACCTCATAAATAACGGTTTATTCAATCCAGCCCGCACATTGCTATACCTCCCGACCTCCAACCCATCGGTTTGGACAAATCAGGCACGAAACAAACATTATAGCATTCTAGCACCCTCGCAAGCAGGCATCGAGCTCCTGGGAGTGCTAGGAAGCAAGATCTAACTGTAATTTTTATCCCCTACCCTATTCAGATACTAGATTCTGGCAAAGTATTCTGACAATACCTGTGAACTGTCTCGCATGTTTTATCAGAAGCCTGCCACTGGGCATACGTTTCAACGCCCGGCATGTGCTATCAAGGTGTTGCTGCTATAAAAGTGAGGTCGGTTATCAAGAACCATTATTTCGTCACCACCTAGCATATCGCTTTCTCTATAGAAACACCATCTGATATATATGTAAGAAAGATAGACTGAGTAAGAAAACTTTGTCAAGATATGAACAAATCTGGTCAAGCAGCTTGGCTGGAAGTCCATGAACTAAACAGTATTCGCTGAGGGTACAGTATTTAGAGAATAATGAGTAAGTTTAAGAAAGCACGTGGAGCACTTAATCAATCGTGAATTTAGATCGATTTCTTGATGCGCAATCAGAACCGACAAATTTGGGTTCCAGAAGCTTTTTGATCCTGGGAACATGAGATCGAGAAACTCATCGCCACTTTCACGTGTTGTTTGTTGAATTAGCATAGTTTGACAGCTCAACCCCTCCCCATTATGAGAAGCAATCTATTGCAAGATAGGGTATCAATCATAACACGCCGCAAGAGGCTCCACTGGTCCTGGAGACAGATCATAGGACGCTTTATCAGAATATTTTGCTAGAATCCGGCATCTTAATACGGTGACAGAATCAAATAACAATAAGACCGCTGAGCAGTCCCAGGAGCCCAGTGCCTACTTGCGACGGATTGTGGGTCTTGGGTTCGATCATTTCGCCATCTGGCCAAAAAGGCACAATTTTTGATCAGCGACCAAGCACCCAAACTCCTATAGATTCTCGATCTCTGAAACCGCAGCCCCTGCACCAATGATGCCCGCAAGGACACAGATCGCGATGTGGAGCCAATTGAACTTTATTTCAGTTTCACTCTCACCTTCCTGCGAGGGGATCGTGGTGTTGCCACCTAGGTTAATGAGAAACCCGCAAACTCGAACTAAATTGACCGTTTTCATTGCTTCCCCTGCTTCTTTGGGAAGTAATATCCGCTTTCTGTTGAAATTCTAGAGCCTATAAATAGCGGGATAAACCCTCGACTTTTCCGATCTCACCACGCCATCTGTTATTCATCAGACAACCACAAAAGCAAAAACTCAAGCAAAACAAAATGCCAAGACTACAAGATCAGCTCCCCCCACCCTATACAGAGCGCGCTAGAGATCCTCTCCCAGAGACCTCTCCCCACACGTCCATACCAAAGACCCGAGAACACGATTTCCTAGTGTCTGCACCAAAAGCCACGCCTGATCCAGAGACGCCAATCCATACAGGGCGGGGAAGAGGAAAAAGACTCAAGAAAAAACTGGCTAAGGGTTTGAAGCTTGGAGCTGGTGCCATTGTGTTGACCGCTGCCGTTCCTGTTGTGTTTGTTGCAAATGTGGCGTATGAGGGAGGAAAAGCTGTTCTTCAGGTAGTCGCGGCTCCAGTTGTGGTATGCGTGGTTTGTTTCTGTATCGATGATTTTGATTTCTGAAGCAACAATTCTCGACAAGATAGCCACTTTACCAATGCCGCACATCTCGTTTTCGGTGGAAAGTATTTTGAGACAACATTATACGGTTATACTTAGCAGGGACCAAAAGGTCAAGTCATCCTCAGTTTGCTTTATTAAGGACATAACGGCTCAGAAAATCATCAAACGTTGTCCGCCCACTACAGTCAAGAAATCAGAAACCATATCTTAAACACGAGTACATTGTAATATTGAAAGAGCGCACTAAGATCCCGAAGGAATGATAGTATTTGAGAAGCCTTGAGGAATCAACAATGTGCGATTTCAGTACATATAATATTTGGTGCAAACTTAGTATTTCACAGCTTCTTCGCAGGAATGGAGGGAAAAATCGGATCAATGACTTACAGGATCACTTGGAAGTTTCCATATTGTTGAGACTTGATGCGATAATGTACTGTAATGATCTTCTACATATATATTTACAATACAGATATATATAGAAGTTGCATTGGTAGTTAATGAAATATTTTGGCAGCGAGGCGTTTAGAATGACATGTGCCAATGTGCAAAGAATAACGTAGAATACTTGGCGAACCTAGGACTTATATTCAATCGCATTGATACGTAGATAAGCTAAGTGACGCATAAGCCCTGTCTTTTCCAGGAATATACCGATGAGCTCGAAGCTCTTCACTAATTCGATCCGTTGTTCATTAAACTTCAAAGACAGTACATCGGGTCCGCCTTTATTGTAGAACAAAATCTGCTCAGACAAGCCCACTGAAGCCTGCATATTCGATCATTTTTGTAGATTAAGTATGCATTGCTACTACACAAAGATACCTATTATCCCACATATCGCAATCTCCATACTACTTATGACAGATGAGGTAATTAGTAAAATGACTGTATTTGGAACAAACTATTTGACTAATTTACCACCTACATCCCCCGTGTGTATACTTCCCCTCTGAAATCCAAGTCCAAGAACAAATCCAATCAGAGAACGACGCATGAAGACCAAAAAATGTAAGTACCAAAAATCAACTCAAATCTCATTCTTTGCCAGGTTCTCAGCCCTGATCACTCCTCTCGGTCACACTCCTTCCTGAAGCATCTCAAACAGAGCCTGGGCCCTCGCTTCCGCTGTCTCCCGGTCCGCCGCACTCTTTTGATCCCAATTTTCTTTTCTTGCCATTTTCGCCATGAATTCTTCTTCATTTACTTGGATTGTAAGCCCTGGAGAGTAAGACGCGATTCGATTAGAGTCTCGAGGCCGACCAGGGGCAGAAGTGGGGTTTGGTGGAGCAAGTGAGGATCGCTGGCCCCGCTGATCCTCAATACCAGTCGCCCCATTACGTCGGGAAGGTGTGGGAGTAGTAGAGTCCCATCTCTCTGGCGGAGACACTCTGACCTCGGGCGTGTTGCAGCGAGAGGTAGCTCGTCGCTGACGGCCTGGGTTTGTGGAGACGATCAATGGGCATGGTGTCGGGGATCGTTCGTAGTTGGGCCTTTCCGGATTATTTTCAACCCATTGGAGATATCCTTCCTCTTGTTTCTGCCAAACCTCCTGGATTTTGGCCATCGCTGCCTTTCGCCCACCACAAAGCCGTTCCAAGCCTTTAAATGGAATCCACGAATACCAGTTGACGACCTTGTTGAAATCTGCTTGATCCAAGTTTTCCCACTCAATTTTAACCCAAAAACCTGGGTTGTTCTTGTAGGAAACGTGGTTTTTTCGTTCCTCAGCAGCGACTCCAACAACCTCGACGACATTCTCCCATGTGTATCGATAAGTCTTCCTGCCACAAAAGTCTTTGGAGTGGATTGAGGTCATGCATAAATCATCATTGGAAATGCAGGGTATTTTCTTGTCCATGTAGCCAGCCCTGTATTTGAAAACAAACCTGACAGCAGAAGGCGGGCCCTGTTGTAGGATCACAAAGGGTCTTGTTCTGTAAATTCCCCATCCGTCTACAGGGAGGTTTGAAAATTCATCTTGAAAAGCATCCTGGCCTCTTTGACCACGAGGCCCAATAACTGCTAGACGGCGGAACCTCTGAGTCAGTCCAGAGACTTCTTGATTTGGTGAGTACACTCTGGCTTGTGAAGGGCGTGCTTCATGTTGATGAGCTTCAGCGGAATTACTTGGTTCCATTGGTTGCATTTCAATCCCATCAGTACTATCCGTCTCGATAGACGGTATGACCCCCTGGCTGTGGTACACTTGTCGGTCACCGCTGGAAGCTTTGTTTTCATGAAATTGCGATTGATCTGGAGTCTCGTCCATGGGTTCCTGCACATTTTGATTGGGCTGGGACACAGACGCCTGCTGCATTATAGCTTGAGCTTGTTGGGGAGAGAGTGACCCGTTTACCGCTGCCTCCTCTAAGTCTCGAAGTTTTTCATGACGATTTGGTGCGTTTAGGCGCGAATTGCCGCTCTTGCCAATTCCTCCTTGGCCTGACATTTGGACGGGCTTTGGGGATGTATCTTTACTGAATAGTGCCGGGGCGATTGGCTCTATTTATGTTCTCAAGAGCTTTAGAGATAGTGGGTTTTATTGAGGATGATACTATCCTAGTTGAACAGGCGAGGGTGAGGTTTGTATCAATATGAGACCTTTTTCTACTTTCGGATGAGCTTATCAACGAAATTTCCATCAACTTGCGGCAGTCAAAAAACATCGGGCGTGTTGACAGTGGGCTCGTTGACAACTTGTGAGAAACTCTTGTGGAGTTTAACATCATTTTCGATAACCCTCCATTTCATGCAGTCTAAAGACAAGCTTAACGCTACTCTCACGGCCTCGCCGGTTATTCTCTTAATAAGCCAGCTTTTTGAGAGAGCATGCTTTTAGGAATTAGTGTTTATTGTTGATCGAATCTGATCTGCGCGTAGAGCAACATACAATACAGCAATATTCGAAATTGGCTTCCATCATTTGCACAGACACGTTTAATCTAGTCGGTGGGTCAACATAAAATGATCCAATTGTAGCTGTAGAAATTGCGGCAGAGCCCCACATCACATCTCAAAGCAGGATGACTAGATCCAGAATTGGACTAGCGGCAAGGCGCCAGATAGTTTCTTTGTGAAAAAGGTGGAAGCCAATTTCGAATATTACTGTAATGCAGGAAACAGCTTACAAGCACTGTTTAAATGCTATGTAGCGTGCGAGATGGAAGTGAGCATAGCAACCTCCTTCTCGCTTGTAAGGTGATAGTTGTACGTATCATACGCTGAAGTGAAAAACATTCTAGTACTTATGAGGAATATCTTTTTTACATGTATTCTATTATCCTAACTTGGCCAATATCATTGGGTCCACTGGACTCCCACACCTGCAAAAACAATCCGAGCGGCTCCGATCCGGCGAGATACAAAGACTATCACAGCAATCAGCATAATATACTCCGCAATCTAACAGTTCCTAAGGTCAGAATAAGAAATAGTCCACCTCAGTCAGAAGAAAACCCTTGCGCTCCGACCATTTGTGTCCCGTTCCGATTATCCAACAGATGACATCTAATCATACCAGCAACGTCCAATACCCTTGTCCTTGCGGGCCAGTGGGTCTAGTTTGTAAAATTTGTATACCGCAAGGAAGGTTACGGATACCAACAGGGTCGTGCCAGTAACTGCGATGGTCGTTATAGCCATCACCGACCAGTCCCCTCCTTTTGACGTATAGACGCTGATCAGAGTAGTCAGAAGCCCAGCTGTAGCATTAAGAGTAAGGGGCCTATCTGTATATCAGAACTTTCTGTCTCTGCCCTCCCCGGGTTGATATTGAACTCACACAAGGATTTTGTTGATCAGCCACGAGAAGTTCCTTCTGAGCTTTTCAAAACGTAGAAGCCACACTAAAGCTCCAAGACCAATGATAAGGAACAAGCATGCAATAACGAGAAGCGGAGGATTCTGGATAGTGTGTAGTATTCTCCGGCCAGCCTCACTTGCGTGCAGAGTCTTCTCCACCTGGCTTGAAGCCTGCAACGAGCTGAACGTTCCAGGGACCACCAGGTAGCCAGCAAGAAGAGCCCAATTGGCTGCACTCGCTATGACGTTGAAGATCAGGTCCGTCCCAGCTTCATCTTTGAGCATTTTTGCGTATTCATCCTCGTGTGCATACGTAACAACCTCACCGTCAGGTGGGCTCACCTCACACGAGCGAGTGTCAAGATGGATATGCACTGTTTCCATCCTGGCCGTCCCAGTATTGTCTGATGTAGTGGCTGCAGGACGTTAGATGTGCAGGTCTATAAGAATTCAGTCCAGGCTGAAAGGGGTACGTATGAAGGGGATGGCCAGAGATATAAATGAATTTAGCAGGCCTCTACTGCCAGGCATGATTTTATCGCTGCTTCTCTGAGCCAAGTCACCATAACGGCATATCTTGTTGAGGTTAAGGTGCATCATGTTTCTGTCTCAGCTTACGCAAGCCTTCTTGAGCTCTAAAGGCTCCACATGCTAAGCTCTTCTTGATGCGCGGTACATTATAAAGGGATCTCAGTTGAAACCTCACTAGGCTTAGGATAGAACAGCAGATATGAGAGGTAGGACGCCTCAGCTTTCAATTACGACTGGCCCATGGTCTGCGGGATCGATCTTGTATAAAGCCACGCTGAATCCTATATCTCTAGCATCTATTGCTCCATCAATGGCGATATGGCTCGATCTCGTCGAGGAAAATGGAGACTGGACTGCAGTAGAAACCCGTCGCCTGGAGAAACTGGTCCGGGAACTACCATTTCCACAATGTCAACAGCCGAGTTTGATTTACTTTGCAGGGAACAGCAATCGCATCAAAGCCTTGAAGGCCCTTTTCCCTCACAACAATGTGACACGCAAGGGTGCCGCAGGGCTGGTTCGGCTTCACCTTAGCCTTCATACGGAACACACCAACAATCCAGTCTTGTTGGCGGAGAGCAGTCTCGGTGTCGCAAAGACACTAGGTGATTCCAGGTGGCTTAAACACATGCCGTGTGAACATCAAAAATGGAAAATCGCGGGCGCTCGTCACGCATCACTGTCGGCGCTACAAGAAGATGTCAAACGACAGCTAGTTCTTCCGTGGACCCAGATAGTATGTCTCTTTCTGGACTCAGACGGCGACTTCAGGTCCGCAGAGAGCCTGTTCCGACAACCGTCTCGATCACTGACTGTTGGTAACATGCGTATTCCATCGTCCATGCAAGTGGTGGTGATTGTTTCGAAGCCAGGAAACGAAGGTAGTATCACAGAGAGGTGTGCCAGTCTCGAAAAGTTTGTACCCTCGAACAGATTCTCCATGCTTGATCTCCGTCAAAGATCCAGTCTATCGGATGCTGTCGCATTCGGGCCCCTCCACCAAATGATATTCGAGAAGCTCTCGGAAACCTCGCTTCAAGAACAATCCTCACACCGGAGGTTTTCCGCATTGCACCTGAGTGCATTTTGGAATGCCAGCTTGGAGAGCTACCGATTCTCCGTTCATGAGGCGCAGCTCGATGTTCTCTCCAAAGCTCGCGCAAACTTTCCCACACCTCCATCGATGAACGACTGCCTTTGCGAGGCCGCGCGGATGGTGACATCGTCGGGATATGGCAGGGATGAGCTTGAACATTTCTTTGCGTCGGCCTTCTTAATGGATACCTACCCACCTGAGATGCATGGTAAGAGCCTCACCCAACTTAGCTTCCAATATTGATGAAAACAGGCTTTGCTCCCACTCTTGTTTTCTCGGCTCTGTATGGAAAAGATCGTCTTCACATCTGGCGCGGAGATCTAAAAAGCCACTGGGAAGGCATTCTGTCTCGGTTCGAACAGCTGTTCACGCAGATGGGAGACCACAATCGATCCGCGGCCATACGGAGGAGCACCCTTGGCCGATTGTTTGGCCAAAAGCAGGGTCTTTATTCCACCACCGTATGCCTCTGCTGTTTATTGCGGCCACCGGAACATATGATGCCATGTCAGCATGCGCTATGTGATACCTGTCTCGTGATATTTGGGATGCCGAGTCCTCTGGGTGAATACCATACGACGATTGCCGAATGTCCGATCTGCAGCCAGAAAGCCAACATCACAATCCGCCAACTCCCCCCGACCAAGCACCCGGTGATTCTCAGCCTAGATGGCGGTGGGATTCGCGGCATAGTTCAGCTGGGTCTGCTTCGCGTGCTGGAGGGACGAATCGGTATCCCAATAGCCTCTCTTCCAGACTTGTGCGTTGGAACCAGTGTAGGTCTGTGCAACTCCGCCCAACTTGGAAGTTAAACGGGCTAATATTCAGGTCGAGCAGGCGCACTCATAGCGATCGACCTCTTCCTCAATCCAGGCTCGGTCGAAGGATGCTTTTATCAATTCCCACAACGGGCGAGAAAGATCTTTCATCGATCGACAGCGACTACGCCTCGCCTCCTCCGGATAATGGCATCCGCATTGAACTTATCCACCCATGGTCTGTATGACTCCGAGAGACTGTCGGAAACCGTGAAGGAAGTGACAGGTCCCGGTCGCCGGCTATTCGATACTGCAACTGTGAGTCCCGCGGGGTGCCGCGTTGCGTTCGTAACAAGCCGGACTGCCGACGGGAAGGCCGTCGTGTTGGCGAATTATCGAGGGTCGGGTCAGCGCAATGCAGACGCCGCCTACGAATTCCTGGTGCCTCGTAGCAACGAAGAGAATCCTCCACTGCCTGACGCGTAAGTTTACCCAGGAGCTGCCTTTCTGGAATATTCACTGACGCAGTCTTTCTCAGAGGTGCATGTAGCACTGCGGCACCGATGTAAGTGACAATGCACCGTTCGTTGTGGTCTTCATTGCTGATCTTCAAAGCTACTTCGATACCATAAATTTACCGGGATTCGCAGGGTCACCTTTTCAAGACGGTGGAGTTCGTGCGAACAATCCGCTAGCCATTGCTTGGCGGGAGTCGACCATCCTCTGGCCGGCCGCAAGGAGACCTGATCTGCTCGTTTCGGTTGGAACAGGATTCTCACCGGCGGCCCCCAGCCGTGCCACAGGGCTTCTGAAACGGCTTCGCGAGGGGGCACTGCCTCGGCTCATCCGGGCTACGCTGTCTTCGCCTACCATGGACGGAGACCAAGGGTTTCGCGAGGCCTTGAACTATCTCTCGCATCGTCCAAACCCCAACGTGTTTCGCGTCGACCACGAGATCGACGGCACCCTTCCCGAGCTGGATGATGTCTGCTCTCTCGAAATGTTGTCTCAACGGACGTTTGTTGTCGCGGATGAGCTAGTCCGCGCCGTTCTTGCCTCGGCGGCGCTCTTCTTTGAATTGGATGATATCCCCACGCAGCGCCACGCTGGCCTTCACTGCCAAGGGTCCATCCTCTGCGCGCGACCGGACGCTGCTGGAATCCTGCGGCGTGTTCTTGTCGAGATCCCTGAGGCGCGCTTTCAAGCTGGCCAGAGTCGTCAACTAGGCCCAGTGGATGTTGCAGACTGCTGTCATTTCTGTGGCTACTTCAGGAGAAGAGTAGAATTCGTGGTTGCGAGTCTCGACGAAGGGTTTACCATCGAGATTGCCAACCACGTCTCGAGTCAGAAGATCGGAGGCTTTCCGAAAAGTGCTCGGGAATTCTTGGAGGATCAGCAGGCGTTTGCTCGATTTGGCAGGGCAGACCATCAGGTTTCGCGATGGCCGCCGGTGCGACAATGCCACTGCGCCCAAGGGATGAAACGGAAGATCCGATTCACGGAGCTGACCCTGCCGGGAAAACGCGACCGACCTGAGCCAGCCAATCGTGAAAAGGTTTAGCGGATTGTGGATATTTGCGTGGTATTACATTGTTTTATAGCCCTCTAGTTTTCTGCTCCATTTTTACTTATTAGTATCCGACAGTGTATGGTATTCCCCTTAAATATATTTCCTTGATTTTATCCTTGATTATACAACGTCGTCTTTAAGGGATTATTCAGAGTATAATCAACTTACATATCATCTCACACTAGGCATCTGAGTCTAATTGGATATTCATGTTCCATATATACTATAACTAACCGTCAAACTATGTAGCAATTGCATTCTATCATTGAGCATTCTATAAAGACAAAAGATTATATCATTCGTATAACGTTTCATAATCTACAACGTAAAGGTTCATGGGAAGGGGAGGGGCACATAGGCTACATAAGGGCATTCAACAGTCACCAAGTCAACCTGTTGGTTCACCTCTAGAAATACCTCATACAGTGAACAGATGCTGATGCTATACCAGGCTATCTTAGACCTGAATCTTCCAAGCTCATCTATTTAATTTGCCAAAGCTCCCTCTCACTGTGATTCGGGTCAAATAATCCACCAGGTTGTCTTCTATACCATGAAACCCCTTCGCAAACCTATCGCTGCTGCAAATCGTGATGATACCTCAAGCGTCTACAGTAGATCTCCTGATACCGCTCAGTATGATCAGCCGCCAATTATGCTTTCCCCCTTACCGATCCAAATATCCATTCCAGAGATCACCCCGCTTGATCACCAAATTGCTATGGCAGGGGGCTGTACGATGGCCCTGGAGCTGACCCGGTCACGTCTCCACATGTCCAAGCAGCAACCAACGCAGCCACTTGCCGGGGCAAAACGAACATTGTTGCGTCAGCTCGAGCAACAACGTTTCGAAAATGACTTTTACCGCGACTGCTTCCGAAACTTACACTATCTTGTGGTGTCTACCATGGATTTGATGCACAGTCTGGCTCTGCGATACCATTTCCAGTCAGGAGCAGGTCCACAAGATCCACGCTTAATCCGTTCCATTGTGTCACTCCGACTGGCGGTGGATAAGTCTCGTGCGGAAGAGAACCAGGCAGAATGCGAGTGGAAACAAAAATGGGATGTACCTAATAGTCCGAAAGCAAATACCCGTTGGTTGTGAGCATTAAGTTATGAGAGTATTGAGGAAACGATATATAACGGGTGCCTAGGGGATTGGTATTTAGTTAGTTCTCTTGCGATAGTTTACGATAAGTCATACCTCATATGACAGTTTGGCAAATAACCTCTTTTTAACTTGAGCCCCTTTTTGTGGTCTCAAAAAGGCGGAAGCACTTTTAGTATTCTATGATAGTTTCAATAATAAGCCTTTGGGGACTATCAGTCACTTTGTGCTCAGTCGTAAGTAATATTTTCTAGTACCATTTCATATTAAGCCACAGAGAATAGTTTAAGCTGGTATTATATATCCTGTAAAGGTACACGCTGGGTAGGAAGCAATCATATCGAAGAAATGGGAAGAACCTTAGGAACGCAACAGAGACGACATATAAACAGTTGTACATATTCTTATCTATCGTTTGTCAATGGTACCTATATTGTTTTTCACCATCCTATGTTTCATACGGCTGATGGACAAAAAGTATACTAGCGTTGATAAAATTCATCAGTAGTTACTCTATAATATGAGGCGTGTGAGATGACAATGGCCCCCCTAAACTCTGACTGCTGAACAAAGGTCCTCAACTTATGTGATCTAGATTAATTTGACTGTTTCACCCCGAGCGATCCCAACTTGATCAATATGATCCGATGGAATTCATCTGATCCGATAGAATTCCCAGAAAATATAAAAAGACGACAGCATGTCATCTATCGTCTGTCTCAAGGCAACCGGATCATCATGATTCTTGCCTTGCTGATTTTGAGTGCCATGGCCATCGTGGTCACTGTGGTATGTTCGATTCGTTGTCGTGTTACGATGGTTAATTCAACTAATCCCCAGACCTCTTTACCACTCAAGACAGCAATGCTTTCCACAAAGTCAGAAGTAAGTCCACTTGCTCAGACATTATGCTCTCTCGCTAAAGTTAACAGGCAACTCTGCCCCAGCCTCTTCAAGGTACGAGACCCGGCGGAGTCGAGAGCAATTACCAAGGTATTGTATCGCGCCCTGGCAACACAGGAAGCATTATAACGTATTCTGATAGTATCTTTCGATCGGAGCGCGAGACACGGTAGAACCCACCGCCATCGTCGACGTCCCTCGACACTTCCTAAACTTTGAAGATAGCTTGGTCTTGACGGGGCACTTAGGCCTGTTCTAGACTGAAGTTCCCTTTCAGTTTCCACTCAAATGATCGTCTTTTAAGATGATGCGCTTTTAATTGGTTGCCGTGAGGTATGCGTACGAGGGGCCGAAACCTGCCATATATACACTGCAAATTAATCTTATTGAGTTCAACTGCATTTCGAGCATCCTGATGGATTGTGGGTGATTTACTTTTTCCCTTCTGTTTTAAACCATAGACATGTCAGCCAGTGTCAGCTATATAAAGCTCAGAAGCAGGTGGTTATATACTTTATTAATTGGTAACACTCCTATTATTTTATAATTCAACCCTGCTTATGCTCAATATAGTTAATGTAAAATTAGATATAGAGGAAGATATTCTGGCAGTATCAGGCTGTTGAAAATATACATGATACTAAAGATCCATATACTATGTATAATCGATCGTCTATTCCTCCTGCTAAATATCGATTCTAAGACTAGCGGAGCACGAGTTGCTACTCAACATGATTCGACGATGTCAACTTCTGCTTCTGCACTTTCCAGGTATTGTGCTAGTTCTTCCCAGATATTGCGCTTATGGCCTGGATTGTGGGCGGGGCGCTTTGGTTTGACGGTACGCATATAAGCAGTCGATCCATAATCGTGGGGAGTTCGCATGACTACACGCTTCTTATCCTTTCGGAGATCAGCGCTCATTCTAATGATAGAGAGTCTGATTGCCTACCATTTTATCCGCAGCCGGCAATGGGAGGTGGGGGTGCGAGTGGTAGCCAAACAGTCGTCCATCAGGGAGTTCCATGTCGAGCCAGATTTTGATACCATACAGAACCCAAAATTCGTGGTGGCGGCGCTGGATGTTGACGAGGCGCTTTCGAAGCTGCTCCCGCTTGACCCGGCTCAGCTGATGAGCCATTGAGCCAAGGGTTTATCTAAGAACATTTCATTGAGCATGGGAAATTTCAATTAATAGCTCTATAGCTTTCCCCTTACGACTTTCGTTCAAATGAAGTTCACCAGCACTCAAACATAAGCCACCGTTCCCTGTCAACACTAACTAGGAAGGAAACTGCGGATGGATTCGAAGGTGCAAAAAGGGAGCTTTGGGTCAGACGCCTCAAATAAATGTAGTATACTCGCTATTCTACACGACGTGAGGTGAGCGGTGATTTACTAACGGCAACCTCTGCTTCCACACAGCCTACCAACCATCAACAGCGGGCTTACTTCCAAAAATGTGAGGATGGAATACCAGGAAGCAGGAAACACCCAGTCAGTCTCTCACCGAACTTCAATGTTCTTTAGGTCATCGGAGAATATCTGTCTTCGCGGCACTGACCTCAAGGCTTAGGGGACCTGAACTATCAAAGGTCTCTAATACGGTGCTGAGATTGGGGAAGCTTATTCCGGTAGCTAAGATTGCGATGAGACCGGTATACCTGCAGGAGATCAACAGTCCTGGACGGAGTACGCTTGGAACATACAACCTACAATCCCTCATGTGTATCTCACTCGCAATGATGTCCACTCTCATGAAACGTCTTGACAGATACTCAGTCTCCCAATCATGCGGATCTTTTTTCCCATCAAGCCTCGTGGCCTTGCATACATCTCATTTCATACTGGGCACCCACCATCCCACATATAGCTCAGAGCAGCCTGCAGTGCTGTCTACTGCACCCCCTTGGCTTACCAGCGAATTATCTGCTTCGGCGACCGCCTCGATCTCCCTAGATATCTCCATTTCTATGAGCGAGCCCATTGTGGGTCAGGCTATGATAATCGACGACCATCGTACAGAGAGCACTCGGACCTCACTAGGAGATCCGACTCCTCCTTACGCAGTAGCAGCTGGAACTTCCGAAGTGATCGAGGAGAGTACTAATCCTATAACGCCGCTTCAGACGAGCCAGGTCATGTCAATCTCACAGACACGCAGCAATGAGACAGGATCAGATTTGCGAGGAACGGCTTCTCATACAGTACAACAGTCCACAAGTCCGCCACTGGGTTCCACTATCCCGCTCTACACCACCAAGCAGAAGCACCCTGAACTAAGAGGCTCAGGCAGTGATATGGAGAAAGACAAGATATCTCTTCCAATACCCGATAGCATCAAAAGGGACTCAGAAACATCTCAAGCCATTTCACAATATCACATGGTCTCAACGCTTACTTCAGCGTTGCTTCAAAATCCAACTACTGGCGGCGCTGGCACGGCCGACTCGTCCATTCCAGGGACATCCAGGTCAGGGGTCATGTTTGATGGCACCAACATGTCGACTACGATGTCTAGACAAGGCGTTGAAGTGATACTTATTAGTGTAATAGGCGGAATTCTCGCCTTTGCCATTCTGATGCTTGTGCACCGTTGGGCTTTATCAAGGTTCTGGAAGTCTTCCAATGGGACTGCGCCGGGAAATACGTCTTTCTTAGTCGCTAAGGTTCACCCAACTATCGAGGTGTCACGATTCTCAATCGAGTCGTCGACAAAAATTTGAGATACGGCATTCTAACAATGGTTGCATCGTTGCAAGAGGAGCTGTTAAATCGGATCTGCTAAAGTATGTTCATCTACTTTCATCTCTCGTTTGTTTATTAAAAAACATATTATTACAAATAGGTTTCTTAGTAACTAATATACTTTCAATGATAATACTGTATATCGCGAAGAATATGAAATTGATGTCTAGTAAGAGCCACTTATGCTTCTAATTAGGATAAAATAAAAATATGGAATTACCAGGAATACTAATACTATACACCTAGATAGAAGCTTAAGATTTATTGTAAAATCTAACAAATACATAGCTGCCGAATAGTATTAAGAAAGAAGGGTGTAAAACACTCCTATTTACCCCTACAAAGTATTTTGATTAAGAACGATGCAACCATTTTAACACGACCGTAGAAATTGGATATCCATCTGGCCAACTCATAAGGCCGGTGGTCTAACTGGTCACGGCTGTGTTCTCCATCAAATAGCCGAAGAAAGCCCGGAAAACCCACTTTCGAAGAAAACCAGCGGTGACCCGTGTTGCTTCCGATGTTTGCTGCAGCGATTCGGCCGACAGCGCGAACCGGTCCGCCTCGACGGTGTTCGAAAATGGCTTTCCGCATCGCTTTTCGACTTCAATTTCCTCGGTGGTTTCTTCCGGGTAGTCACACGGGATGAGAGGAGGTAGCTCGGGTTCAGGCTCCACGGGATATCCGGCTTCCAGGAGTCGAAACCCCCTGGATCTCAATTTGGCATACAAGTGCCGCCAAAGGTCTGATTCGCTGAGCGTCGTCGGCCGGTGTCTAATCAGACTGGATGAGTTGCGGACATCATGTCCCTCGGTTCCTTTCAGACGCTGATGCTCGGTCATTTCAAACCCATACTGGAAGCTAAAACGCCAAAATTCTAGAAGATCCTCTCTTAGGTAATGAGCTCCCAAGGAATGGGGAATTGACACGGCAGTATCAAACATTTGGCATATACCCTCGTCAATAGTGAGCCTTTTATCCCATACTGGCGGTGGCACAAGTTGTTTCATGACACTTTGCGCGACCTCGAGATAGATCCGGTCCTTGAAAAAGGTCTTTAGGGTTGGGATGGGGTAGTCAATGTCTTGCAGCTGCTCCCACAACTCATAGCGAATGTCATCTGGGAAATGACGGAACAGCTGACCGTCATCCATCTTCGATTGTAAAAATCGTAAATCTTGGTCGGAGACCTTGGGGGCACGAGACTGGATGAGATTGACTGAGACTCCATCTATCCGCGATAACAATTCGCGTCTACCCATGACCAGTCGGTTGAAGGTTGTGAGGATTGTTTGCCAATAGCAGGAAACTGCCTGGAGATAAGTTCGAGTGAGCCGGACTGAAACGGAATTGGGCCAGGGGAGTTGACCTACCTCATCACAGCACATGGCCGTGACTTTATGCAAGACCCCGATGCGCATGTCTTCCCATAGGCCTCCGATGACAAGCAGAGAATTCAGACTTAGATGTAATTTTTCGATCTTGAAAAAGCGCTCGAGGTATTTTCTTTTCCTGCTTCCGACAACCACTTGCAGCACCGCATACCAGTTGTCGGCGGCCAAGCGATCTTGAGGGCCGTCAAGGAAGCCCTCATAGTAGTTGATCCTCTCATAGATCAGGCCATCAGGCGGACGATTGTCATTAGTAAAGTTTTCCGTCATGGACTGGATGAACTCGTGATGGAGGGCTGTGGAATCGGCATTGGCAACGTCTATAGAGAGGTTTAGTCGTCTAGGAAGCTTGGTGATTCTCCTTCACGGCCACTCGTGCACTTACCATCATTTGTCACATAGATATCGGCAATCCACCACTGGTCATCGATATCCAGCCACTGACAGGCCGCCGCTATCAGATTTCGATGATCCAGAGCATGCAGTTGGTAGTCTCCGACGACAGTCAAGTAAGGCATGTCCTCCTGGCTGTGGTCCACCACCACGCGATTCCGCCAGTCATTCCTGGACATGATAACCGGGAGATGATTTTTTCGCATAAGACGCTGGCATCCCTGAATCTCCATAAGTTTTTTTGATCGCCGGATACTTCTCTGATTGTCCATTCGGCTTCGAAATCCCTGTTCAAAGGTCACGTCTGACAGATGCACCTTGGCAGAGATCTGAAAATGACGCCGGCCGTACAAGAACAGCCTACGCTCCTTTTCGTCCACCTGAGACTGCCGTACGGGAGACATTGAGCCGGAGTCGTCGAGCGTCGTCGCTCTGCAGTTGCAGATCGTCAAATTATGTCTGCCTTGGTCTTTATAGCACTTTCGATCAGCTGCCTTCGCATAACTAGACTATAGATTTGGTTCACAGATGCCAACGATCCTTACTGGTGAAAACAGCTTTAATTTCTGACCCGAACCTGCACAATCTGAGGCCAGGAGTTTCCTGCTGCCCGCATATTCCATCATTCAATGCTCTGCCCTCCGTTTTTGTGAGGATCATAGTGGTGATAGGCATATGGAACTTAAAGGAGAAGGTGTCTTTAATTTGATAACTTGCGGTCATCCCTGCTCACCTCTGCCTTATCCACGATTACCCTATAAACTACTCGCCTCGCGCCATGCTCGAAATTTCTAGTTCTTGTCTCTTGATTTGTTCCTCCCACTTCTGCACTAAGTGAAGCGTTGTAACCGAGTAATCATGAGTTTCTCGATGAAAGGCAGGCTAGATAAGACGCTCTCTGCTGTGGTTATTTCCCTCAGCATAGCCGTCTTGGTTTGTCTGTGTCTTGTCTTTGTTGGCTGCTCCTCGACCTCTCCCCCGCGGCCTTTACTTCCTTAAGGTAGGTTGGGCTCCACTAATACACGTACTCTGGCAATAATGAACAGTGACTAGGTCGATATGACGAACTTCCCGACCCTCCCAGATTTAGCGACTCGCGATTCGTTTGGAGTACGCAATCCAGATATTGCCAATATTGGCGACAGCGATAGCAAGGTTTTGACCGCTGCCACATCCAACCTACGCGACGATATAAGCGAGGTTTCCTCACAGAGCATATCAGCGGCTCAAGAAAAGGTTAATGCCGAAGTTCATGAGATAAAAGCCAGTTTGTATCAGTACTACTCCGTGGGCTTACTGGGATACTGCAAGTTCCGGGGTCGCGCAGATGCCGTTTGTTCGCACCCACGTGCCTCATTCTCGTTCAACCTTCCGGCGATACTGGACTCTACGTCGGCAAGCCTTGGTGGACTTCTTCCTAGCTTGGATCAAAAAGGCATATCCGGATACCGTGGCCTAGTCCAAGCTGGCATTGGGCTTTACATTGCTGGCTTTACTACGACCATGTTGGCGGTTGCGCTAGGGGGCTGGAATCTGAGATTTTCTCACGGCAGAACCGTGTTTATCATCCTTTGCACGGTATGTGTTCATTGACTCCGGCCACCGGGGAATTTGCTAACCTTCCAGCTCTCGTCACTGTTGATCACGGCCGCCACAATCTCGGTCAGTGTGAGATATGGACTTCTGGCTTTCGGGATTAAACGCATCCTGGGCGAAGTGGGAATTCGAGCCTCCCTTGGAGGGCAAATGTTCGCAGTGGCATGGCTGGCGGTCTTATTTTCCTTTGTAGCCTCGTTGATTTGGGTCATTCTTTTGTTTTAATATGCGTTCAAGCCAAATTAGATATCTGCTACCGCAATAGCTGGTCTCTAGCTTAAGATGCCAGCCCGGTATGGACGTGCTATGCTACCAAATGGCTTACAAAGATCGAAATGTAGACTAATAGTTAAGTGATCAATAATTCCACTATAAATGCGAATATTATTGAAACACTTTGATTTCTGGCACAGTGAATTACAAGTGGGAAATATAGTGTACCAAAGGCCGTTGCCGTCGTTGGAGCTGTATGTAAGGTGCCATGAGCGCCCATAACCCGTAGTGGAAGCTCTCGTTGATACAAGAGTGGAATCGGCCAGTGGGACTGCTACTAGGTACAATCATAAGGTCCCGTAGTCTTTTGTCCATCCAAAGTCACATCTGCCTCGGTATACATCCTTCGTATCGGCTCGAAGACTACACGCGCTGAATAGGACATGTCCAACTGACATAGCTCCTCACAAGCGGCTTGGGACTCACAAGCCTTCTCAATGAGGCTCAAGACATTATTTTGAAATTTCCGGATGATTTCGTGAACAGTGTATCCCGGTCTCGTATCAAGGGATCTGTAGAGTTTGTGGAGGTCTTCGGCTGTCTTTTCCGTCAGATCTTGAGTAGCTTTGAGCAACGTGTAACAATCACGAAGATAGGAGTTGTGAGCTTGCTGTTCTCCAATTTGTCGAACGATCCGCAAATTATCATCCATGAGGGGAACTGAGGACTAGATCGAAGTACAGTAGAAGAGCAGCATTCAGCAAAATTTGACCACGTATGAAGAAGGTGGAGTGCGGTGGAGTCTGTGGGGTGGATTCTTGGTGTGCATCGGAGCCGTCCTCCAAAACGGTGAACCAACATGATAAGTTTAGGTATTCACCACGCTCCGTTGGACGCCTCCAACGTTGTTAGTGAATAGTGACTCGCAGCCGTTGATCAACAAGCAGTTGTGACATTCGTCTTGGCAGTGATGAGCCAGTTCTTATAGGCTATATAATGGCTGCGGAATCCCTAGGATGACAGTCAAGAGAATGCAGAGCATGTCATTACTTTCTGGAACAATGCCATCATCCAGTCCACGCGACCTCCGCGACTGCGCCATTGGTGCTGTTATCAGTGCATTTGGTTTCTGCTACTTTGTCATTTTCTTTGCTCAATTCCTCCTGTTCCAATTCCCTACAACCCAGGAGATGATCACTGATGCGATTGCGGTGACCGCATTCAGCTTATGCCTTATAATCTGGTATCTAGGGGTTGAATTCCATTACACCCTCAGCGCGTTGGGTGGCCGAGATCTGGTGGGATACGAAAGGTCGATCTGCCAGAGTGGTCTATTTCTCATATGGGCGGCTGCGTTGCCTACCGTTGTCTTCTTGTTTCCAAAGCAGCCCTTCTTGCAGCTGGGCTACACGTCGGCATTGACTCTGGTGGTTGTCGAGAGGATGTTACCGAGCACCATATCCGGGGACCAAGGAGATACCGAGTCGATCCGGTATCCCGGATACATGACAGCTCTCGTGCTGTTATGCTCGGTGCCAACAATACACGCACTCGCGCAGCCGGCGCCGACGGCATCGTTATTACCAACTGCCTTCCTTTGGTTCCTTGTGACAAATGCTTTTGGCGTAGCCATTCTGCTTCTTCGATCTTTCGAGCGAGCAGTTGGTATTTCAAAGTGGTATCTCAGCCTGCACGGAGCGCATATGGTCATGACGTATAGTCTGGTGACCTACTCGAAAGCCGTTTTACAGGCTTTTGCTAGCTACAACTCCTAGGGAAAGGGCTAAGTGAGCAGTCTAGACTTTGAATCTCACATCAAGTAGCTGGAATCAGCATGGTCGAATTTGATTATGTGGCTAAGAGATCAACACCATGGATCCTTGTCTATACTCATATCGGGCCTCGGTAATGATGCGAAGCAGGAAATGGTGGATGGAATGGTCATGGGTAATCACTTAAATGAATCAGAATTCTTTGGTTGAGTAGTAGACCATATACAGCTTTTACTGACCTTTGCCTCTGCTCCACGTAGCGTGACAAATGTAAGCTAGTTATCCTTTGTGCTCGGGAACACCACTCTTACATTTAGTTTGTATAGACATTGTGGATATATCATAATAAAAAATGTAACGAAATCACCCGATACTGTGTCAGTATAAGATTACGTACCGACTTAGAAAAAGATAAATAGCTATGAAGATCAGGCCAGGCTTGTATTCAAAGGTGGAAAGAACAAACGTTCGACTGCGCAGTATACCGCTTCCAAACTACCGAGATTTTCTATTTCAGCAAAGACAAGAAAGTGAACACATCTATCCTATCACCATGTTCTTGTCAATATAGCCCAGAATATAGTTTGTTTATTTATGGGTCCACTAGCCGATGCTTCTTGCTACATTGTAGTATTTGCCACACGTCCGAGCATGCTTCAGGCTAAGCTATAAAAAAGGGCTCCCAGGAGCGTATAGTTCCTGGGAGCCCCATAGAAAGGATATTAGATCTTACCTATTTGCCTCTATTTGAAACCCGAGAATATAGACCTCATAGCTTAGGTAAATTGTATCTTCCCGCCCTTGAATTGATATATAATGGCCACTATCTCGCGATGAGAAAATGATTGTCAACTCAGGACAGACCAGCTGATGTTCCCTATATCCTCCACCCATACAGTTCAGTCATCTTTAGTCACCTTGCTACTATTGATCAATATTGCGCGATTGATCGTGCACTGCTGGTTTAGGCTACAGTGGTCGGTCAGTCGCCTGGAGCTGGTATTTTATATTTCAAATTGCGTTTCATTCTTGGTACTAAGTGCCTCCCTGTGGAGCGGGCAGTCCGGGCTCTGGATTGAGATCTGGCTCTGGACGACCTCGGTTAATCCGTCGCTCCAAGCTGTAAGCCCAAGGCGTTTCCATTTGATCGACTGTATACTAGTCCGCTGACTATGCCAAAGCTACTACGTGTGATTTTGCAACAGAAGCGCAATCCATTCCTGCCGCAAGTGGCTTTGATTATGTTCATCTCCTGGACCGTCCTATCCACATTCGCGAAAGTAGCAATTGCATTCATCGGGGCACTGGTGTGGAACACAATATACCAGGTTGGGCTAGTGACAGTTTTCGTTGATTATCTCTGGGTGGCTATATGGTATTTATGGATCCTGGGGGAGACATTGAGTATGAAAAGAAGATTGACGTTTATCTTATGCTCGATCCTCCTTATGGCAGCTCTTCTGCTAGCCATTGCTGCTATTGGTATGGTGAGGAAGTCATGGATGATTGAACTAGAGGTAACTTCCCGCTTCGACCTCTAATGTGATGGCGCTGACACTGACTAGATACAGCTGTTGGTCACTTTCATTGGCGCTTCACTCCTACAGTTCCTGGTGAGTGATGAGGTGATTCGCAGGATAAGAAGCAGCGAAAGCGGAAGGACTCTACACACTTTGTAATATCGGATGGAAGAAAAGAGATCGTCAATCTATTCATCCTACTTAGTCACTGGATAAAAGACAACTTATCAAAGACAACTTATCAAAGACTAAGACTAATTAAATCTACCTTAATATAATTCTCCGACCCTTCCCACCCGGCCAGGACTACCGAGACATTAAAGAACAACCCAGTACAAGAATATGTCAGTGATGATTTCCCCCTACTATATATCTTAAGACTCTCAGTTTCTGGAACACGTTCTCTCTTATTAAATTCACAATGGCACATAACAAGTCTTGGATTTCACGCCCCACATTCCACCAGTGCCATCATCTGAAAGTCTCACACTTTCGTATCCTCCGACTGAAATTTTCAGTGCAAATTATTGGTGCAATTGGTATGCCCCCAGAATGGCGCTGCTTGCCTCACGTCGTGCTCAAGTGATGCTCCAGCAGGAAACAACGCCGGGAATTTGGGCGCAGTCGTCGGATCCAACTCAGCCTAGTTGCCCCTTGGTGAGGCATCGCACACTTTCGCTGGCGTCTCTGACTGGGAGGGCATCCACTGGGTGTATAAGGATATTTTTGGAGTGAAAGGTTTTCCCGCCCCTGTGTTAAGCCGCGGATCCTTAGTCGAAGGGTCATTTTGTGTTTGCCCAAGCCGGACGCGGTAGAGGAGTCAGCGTAAGCATTTCCAATACCATGGCTGTCACGGCGCTTAATATATTTTGGTGGTGAGGAGGTAAACTCAGGGAGTCGCATAGCCATGTGAGGACCGAGCTGAGGCCGCTGATGGACAGGCTTACGAACGCGTACGGCCATTGTCAGAATAGTAGTAGCCATAGGGACGAGGAAGCTAGGAATGTAGGTTTTATATGCTTGTTCCAGACCAGATGTATGCGAGAAGTGCGATGATTACCCTGTGAGCCTCAAATTTTTGTCAAATTATCCCTCAACGTCAGTCTCCAGATGCCTTTGCATCACTCTATCCACGGCGCTGAGGACTGGAGTAGTAATTGGGGGCCGCTTATACCGTTGAGACTTAGAATACTAATGAATTGAAAGCCCCGATATGTTATTTTGATGTTTCACCATATATCTAAAGTTGAGATCGCTCATTAATAACTTGAAAAATGGCTGATTTATTGCCAAAGTGCATTTTCCTCAGTATTTCCAATCAATGCAATATATCCATTAGTTGAGTTCGTTCACAGTAGAGATGGAGCCTTGCTAAAAGAGGACTAGAAGAATCAGACCAAAGGAGAACAGGCATTCAAGTCATAAAATAGGCTATTTTACCTACAAAGCTTTCTACTTTGTTAAGACTACAAAAGATGATCCTCTACAGATATTTAATTACAGACATTTAATCGTCAACTGATTTCAGGACACACAGTAGCGTCATTATCAGATAAAATTTTATATGGCCGGGCAAATACTGTATCGATTAAACCCGGCGAAGTTCTGATCTAGAATTTACCATACCCATCGATTTTTGTGCGGACAATTACGTCCGGACTTGATCCTCGATGTTGGTTCCGCGCTGGGCTTCTGTGGCAAAGCGTGGTCACCCATTCCA